TAATTAATTAATTAAAATTTTCAGCATTTAAACTATAGAATTTCGAGAGCACAACCCCAACTTTGGCAATATTCAGGAAAGCAATCGAATTTTATTGTTTTGCAACCGAAAAATCATGCTAGCTCGAGAGAGTCTCATCAATCTCATACGACCCAGGATGCTCCAATTTGGCTCCGCTCTCGGCTCCGGAGCCATGCCGGAGCCTTGCTGGACACGTCCCTTCAGCCACCACATCCTTAGCCAACAACGACTGCATTTTTCATCACTGGCCAATCGCGCTAGACTAGCGGAGAAACCGAAAAAAATGGCGTTGGATCCCGGTGAAAACCCACCGGAAACCACTCAAAAATCTGCTATGGAACAACGTCAAGCAGACAGTGAAGCTCAGGTCGTTGAACCTGAGGTTCATACGAGAATGAATACAGCTGGAGCTCGAGTTGGGGTCAAAATCAATCCAATTGGGGCAGCAGCAGCACATGAGTCAAGCGCCGAGGGTCTGTTCGATAAATACGGTCGGAAACATAGCTATCTGCGGATATCGTTGACGGAGCGATGTAATCTGAGATGTAAGTCGGCTGCTTTTTTGCAGGATAGCAAAAAATTCCGTCCTCTCGATCAGCAGTATTTTATTTTATGTTTGATTGATTTGATTGATTTCGTTGATTTGATTGATTTCATTGATTTGATTGATCTGATTGATTTGATTGATGATTTGATTGATTTGATTGATTTCACTGATTTCATTGATTTCATTGATCTGATTGATTTCATTGATTCGATTGATATTTCGTGACATTTTCAGATAAATAACGTTGTGATCCGAGGTGTGAATGATGAGGAATTGAGCGATTTCGTTGCGTTAACCCAAAACAGAGTAGGTGCTACTTGCTATTTCCCGCTTCATGTCCATTATTATGTCCATTATGTCCATTATTATGTCAGATTATGTCCATTATGTCCTAATTATGTCCAATTTTTCTGAAAAACGAGCAATTTGCAGAATCTCAACGTTCGTTTCATTGAGTATATGCCGTTCGGAGGAAATAAGTTCGAGTTACGTAAACTTGTGCCCTATAAGGAGATGCTGAAGATTATTGGCCAAAAATATCCCGAAGTTATAAAGCTAAAGGATCACCAAAATGATACGGCAAAGGTTGGATTTCAAGGCATTTCTAGCCAAGTCAGATCGGGTCTCGGCTCATTTTTTTAAAAATTTGGAAAAATTTTAGGTTTTTGAGGTCAGTTGGCGAGCTCCTAAAATGGCATTCAGATGGATTTTGGATTATTTAGACCTGAAATCCAAAAATTTTTTTTGATTTCAGGTTTTTTAGCATAATTTTCAGAATTTGATGTCCAATTTTTCTGAAAAACGAGCAATTTGCAGAATCTCAACGTTCGTTTCATTGAGTATATGCCGTTTGGAGGGAATAAATTCGAGTTACGTAAACTTGTGCCCTATAAGGAGATGCTTAAGATTATTGGCCAAAAATATCCCGAAGTTATAAAGCTAAAGGATCATCCGAATGATACGGCAAAGGTTAAGTTTTAAGGCATTTCTGGCCAAGTCAGATCGGGTCTTAGCTTATTTTTTTAAAAATTCAAAAAAATTTTAGGTTTTGGGTCAGTTGGCGAGCTCCTAAAATGGCATTCAGATGGATTTTGGATTTTTTAGACCTGAAATCCAAAAAATAATTTGGATTTCAGGTTTTTCAAAGCATAATTTTCAGAATTTGGGTGTAATTTCAGGCGTATGCAGTGCATGGATTTCGTGGCAAATTTGGTTTTATCACGTCGATGAGTGAGCATTTTTGCTTCACATGCAATCGTCTACGAATAACTGCGGATGGAAATTTGAAGGTTAATTAGGGAATGGGCTTATAATTTCTTTGAAATTATGTCCGGATTATGTCCATTATTATGTCCAGATTATGTCCATTATTATGTCCAGATCATGTCCATTATTATGTCCATTATTATGTCCAGATTATGTCCATTATTATGTCCAGATTATGTCCATTATTATGTCCAAATTATGTCCATTAGGTGTGTCTTCATGGAAGTAATGAGGTATCGCTGAGGGACGTGCTTCGCTCGGGTGCTACTCAGCAGCAACTTGAGACGGTTATCCGAGAGGCTCTCGGCAGAAAGAAACGACAACATGCTGGTGGGGTGGCTTATCAGCTCTTATCAGTTTATCAGCTGTTATCAGTTTATCAGTTATCAATAATGATTCATCAGCAGATCTTAAAAATCCGATGT